TACTAGTTGTAATGGCAGTGTTGTAGTAGTAATGTAGTACTAGCTGTAATGGCAGTAGTTGTAGTAGTAATAGTAGTACTAGTTGTATATGGCGTAGTTGTAGTAGTACTAAGTTGTAATGGCAGTAGTTGTAGTAGTAATAGTAGTACTAGTTGTAATGGCAGTAGTTGTAGTAGTAATAGTAGTACTAGTTGTAATGGCAGTAGTTGTAGTAGTAATAGTAGTACTAGTTGTAATGGCAGTAGTTGTAGTAATGCTAGTTGTAATGGCAGTAGTTGTAGTAGTAATAGTAGTACTAGTTGTAATGGCAGTAGTTGTAGTAATGCTAGTTGTAATGGCAGTAGTTGTAGTAGTAATAGTAGTACTAGTTGTGATGGCAGTAGTTGTAGTAGTAATAGTAGTACTAGTTGTAATGGCAGTAGTTGTAGCAGTACTAGTTGTAATGTTAGTAGTTGCAATAGTAGGTCAAAGTGACTTATTTCCATTGGAGTCCTCGTAATATCTTATTATTTATATCTTAACAGTTAAAAAATGTTAATTAACTCAACCATGTGAAAATGAGATAGAATGCAAGGAGACATATTAGGAATAATGTAAACTGAGTTATTCACATCAACATCAAAGAGAGGATCAGATCACAGTAATAGGTACATGACTGTTACAGTAATAGGTACTTGTATGTTACAGTAATAGGTACATGTATGTTACAGTAATAGGTACTTGTATGTTACAGTAATAGGTACTTGTATGTTACAGTAATAGGTACATGTATGTTACAGTAATAGGTACTTGTATGTTACAGTAATAGGTACTTGTATGTTACAGTAATAGGTACTTGTATGTTACAGTAATAGGTACTTGTATGTTACAGTAATAGGTAATGTATGTTACAGTAATAGGTACTTGTATGTTACAGTAATAGGTACTTGTATGTTACAGTAATAGGTACTTGTATGTTACAGTAATAGGTACATGACTGTTACAGTAATAGGTACTTGTATGTTACAGTAATAGGTACTTGTATGTTACAGTAATAGGTACATGTATGTTACAGTAATAGTTACATGTATGTTACAGTAATAGTTACATGTATGTTGCAGTAATAGGTACATGTATGTTACAGTAATAGTTACATGTATATTACAGTAATAGTTACATGTATGTTACAGTAATAGGTACATGTATGTTACAGTAATAGTTACATGTATGTTACAGTAATAGGTACATGTATGTTACAGTAATAGGTACATGTATGTTACAGTAATAGTTACATGTATGTTACGTAATAGGTACATGTATGTGTTTACAGTAACAATAGGTGACATTGTATGTAGTTACAGTAATAGTTACATGTATGTTACCAGTAATGGGTACATGTATGTTACAGTAATAGGTACATGTATGTTACAGTAATTAGTTACATGTATGTTACAGTAATAGGTACTGTATGTTACTGTAATAGGTACATGTATGTTACAGTAATAGGTACATGTATGTTACAGTAATAGGTACTTGTATGTTACAGTAATAGGTACATGTATGTTACAGTAATAGTTACATGTATGTTACAGTAATAGGTACATGTATGTTACAGTAATAGTTACATGTATGTTACAGTAATAGGTACATGTATGTTACAGTAATAGTTACATGTATGTTACAGTAATAGTTACATGTATGTTACAGTAATAGTTACATGTATGTTACAGTAATAGTTACATGTTATGTTACAGTAATAGGTACATGTATGTTACAGTAATAGGTACATGTATGTTACAGTAATAGGTACATGTATGTTACAGTAATAGTTACATGTATGTTACAGTAATAGTAATGTATGTTACAGTAATAGTTACATGTATGTTACAGTAATAGGTACATGTATGTTACAGTAATAGTTACAAGTATATTACAGTAATAGTTACATGTATGTTACAGTAATAGGTACTTGTATGTTACAGTAATAGGTACATATATGTTACAGTAATAGTTACATGTATGTTACAGTAATAGGTACATGTATGTTACAGTAATAGTTACATGTATGTTACAGTAATAGTTACAAGTATATTACAGTAATAGGTACATGTATGTTACAGTAATGGGTACATGTATGTTACAGTAATAGGTACATGTATGTTACAGTAATAGTTACATGTATGTTACAGTAATAGGTACATGTATGTTACAGTAATAGGTACTTGTATGTTACAGTATAATAGGTACTTGTATGTTACAGTAATAGGTACTTGTATGTTACAGTAATAGGTACTTGTATGTTACAGTAATAGGTACTTGTATGTTACAGTAATAGGTACTTGTATGTTACAGTAATAGGTACTTGTATGTTACAGTAATAGGTACTTGTATGTCACAGTAATAGGTACTTGTATGTTACAGTAATGGGTACATGTATGTTACAGTAATAGTTACATGTATGTTACAGTAATAGGTACATGTATGTTCAGTAATAGGTTACATGTATGTTACAGTAATAGGTACATTGTATGTTACAGTAATAGGTACATGTATGTTACAGTAATAGGTACTTGTATGTTACAGTAATAGGTACTTGTATGTTACAGTAATAGGTACATGTATGTTACAGTAATAGTTACATGTATGTTACAGTAATAGGTACATGTATGTTACAGTAATAGGTACATGTATGTTACAGTAATAGGTACTTGTATGTTACAGTGATAGGTACTTGTATGTTACAGTAATAGGTACTTGTATGTTACAGTAATAGGTACTTGTATGTTACAGTAATAGGTACTTGTATGTTACAGTAATAGGTACTTGTATGTTACAGTAATAGGTACTTGTATGTTACAGTAATAGGTACTTGTATGTTACAGTAATGGGTACATGTATGTTACAGTAATGGGTACATGAATGTTAGCTATACAAGAAATCACTCTCCTCCCTTTATGTAGCTTCATTCCTTGCGAGGCTCGTAAGTTCCCCCGTCTTCTAATAACATGTTCATTTTTCCACTATAATCAACCTGGACCATAATTACTATCGGATTTGCTTTGTCTGTTTCGTAACGTGAAGTATATTCCTTAATTCATGGTATAACTGAACAAATCTTTGAGGACAATTGTGTTGCAGACCTCTGCAACACAACTATCCTCAGATAGATTATAGTGGAAAAATGAACGTGTTATTAGAAGAAGGGGAAACGTACTTGACCCTTAAGTACCTTTTAGCCCTATTCTTGAACTGGCTTATGGTAGGACTGGCTTTGACTTGTGCAGGCAGTCCGTTCCACTCCTTTATTGTTGTGCAATAAAAGGTGTTTGAAGTCTGACAACCTACTGTTGGTAATACAAAGTTGTCTTCACTTCCCCTAGTACTATACTTGTTTTGGTTCTCAACCTTGACAAACTAGGCAGCAAGATATTGTAAGCAGTTATATAAACATGATTTAACTTCAATGTTTTATTCTTTCTTCAATATTCAGCATATCCAGTTCACGTTGAGTTGGTCACACATTATTCACGGCTTTGTGGTGGAACGACTCGCAGAGATAGTGATTTAACATAAAGGAAGTGTTTTTAAACGAAAATGTGGCATCACATGCAAGAAGTGCCACACGCATCCATGTAGTCACTGGTAGTCTTCTGTTACCGTCCTACATCTGGTAGCGCTGCCCACCCGGGGAACCACACAGGTCTCTCTGACCCATCACACACTGCAAGAAAGAAATCATGTGGTTTGTGTGAGAATCGGAAAGTGTACCTGAATTGAAAATGTCTGTGTGGTGTTATACACCATAAATGTTTTTGATGGGTAGTAAGTCTCGGCATTTAATACCTGGTAGGCAAAGCTCTCGCTTCACACGCTGAGCGGCCGGGTTCGATTCCCGGCGAAAGGGTGGAAACATTGGGCGTGTTTCCTTACACCGGTTGTCTATGTTTACTCATCGGTAAAATGGGTGCCTGAGTGTTAGTCGACTGGTGTGGGTCGCATCCTGGGACAAAAATTGTCCTAATTTCCCCGAAATGCTTTGTATAACATTGATGTCAGCTAGGCCTATATACTATATACATGTACTTGTATTAGATAAAGATATTATTATTATTGTTGTTTTCTAAGATGGTTTTTTTGTGTTGTTGTGTCAGACGGGGCTCATTGATAAAGGCTTCTGAAGCTTCTTACTTTATTTGCGATATCTGGGTACACAGGCAGTGTGTTGGTACCCTAGCCCCCGGAGGGGCCAGCCCGCGAGGGAGAGAGGAGTAGGCCTTGTTGACTGAGTGAAGGCCGCTGAGAGAGTGAGAGGCAGGGGTGGGCAGGCTGGCATGCCCACCGAGAGGCCTGGCCTCTGGTGGAAACTATGGGAATTAGGCATGTAGGCTCACTGGCTACATTTCGCTCGGCCACCTACCACATGGTCGACCCCGACCATGACTGGCGGTAAAAAAATCTCGGTCTCTCTCTCGCAGAAACAGGGCACAGAACACAAAATAAAAACATATATATATAAATGTGTGGACATGGGAAAAATAAACTTCCTACAGGGATGAAAGAAAAAAATAAAGGGTGGGGGTGTGCTAAAAAAAAAACATCGTGGTCCAAGGCAGTGATCCTCGGAGGCATCACTGCACGCCTTCCTGCGTCTGGACAGGTACTGCAACACAGGAGACATCGCTGCGGCTGAGCTGTGACGTAACAGGGTACGGTCTCCTCTGGAACGGTGAAGCAGGCATCGTAGTAATCGCTGCAGGGTTCACTCATCCTGGGGCACAACCTGTTAGTGGCCTCGAGTGAGGCATCGTCAGTACTCGGCAACTGGGCAGGACTTCTTCTGGCAAGCGATTCAGGAGGACATTTCTCGACTGGTACTATCGTTGGGGCTGTCACTGCCGGCGAGTGTGGAGTAAGTCGTGGCAGGGACGACTCGGCAAAACATCTGGAAGTCGTAACATTATTATTATTACATGCAGTCAGTTAAGGTTGACTGTTAACAACGTAACGTTACACTGTTACAGGCTTCTCCCATCAACAAGATGACTAAAATGCTGCTAGTCACGCCCTCTAGCACCGTCGACATACCACGTCTACACCTGTACACTCACCTCTTCTTCGTGGGTAAAGAGCGCGTCTCCTTGATGAAGGTGGGTGCTTGGCCGCCAGCACCAGCCTGCTCATCCACCCTCAACTGGTTTCCTCAGAAGCTGACTAACTTTCATGGTTTCAAGGTAAGTTTTCTTCCACTGTTGAATAAGACGAATATGTAACACTTGGGTGTCTGCAAAAAGACAGGTAATAATTGTTAAGGGGTGGAGGGGTTAGATGACCACAGGCTCCAGTGGTTGGTCATTATATGACAAGATCCGCTTCAGGAAACACTTGTCCTGTTTCCTGACGATTCTTACCTAACGTAACTTGGGTATTTGTTTTGTTGAAATGTTTCGTCTACCCAGGAGGCTTCTTTACTCGAATACAGGAGATATCGGTGTAGACGGTAGTGTTTAGCATGACCTACTTCCACTAGTGAGCCACGCTTACTTGTGACGCCAGCTCCAGCTGCTGCACCTCACTTTTACTCCAGAATATAAAGTCTGACCGCGTGCTTCACCATCACCTCTCAAGGCAAAGTGACGGATCACCTCAAAGTTTCTTCTACTGTCTTTACTGTTGTATTTACCTGTATTCCAGTAAAGCAGCCTGCCCAGCAGGCGAAACGTTTCAGCAATAAAGATACTCCAATATTACACTTGTCTCTTATTCATCAACTTGTTATTGTATATCATCAACAATAGAGGCTATGAGCTGTTATCATACCTGTTACTGTCTCAGAGTCTAACACTACTCAAGGAATACTACCAATCTACACAATCATCCCAGCATGAACTAGACAACGGTCTACTAACATCTGGGTTCATATTTGCTGCTTGGTGAACATAGAACAGCAGGCCTACTGGCCCACACTAGACAGGTCCTTTAACAGTGCCCTGGATGGGACTCAAGACAGTCAGCTAACACTTGTGTTATTGTACCTATTTACTGCTAGGTGAATTGGATCATCAGGGGTCAGTAAACTTGTCCATTTGGGTGCAGTGTTTCTCTTCTAACTCCATTTGTCAACCTTGCATTCTCTTCTAATACCTCAAGTCTGTTTCGTCCTTCCCCTTACAACTATTTATGTACGTGGTTTTTCATTCGCTGAATTTAGACACAACTATAGCATTTTAATCGTCGTCGTTTTACCTCTTCCTGGAAAGTTGGTCAGAGAGCGTTGGGATAGAGGATCATACAGTATTTGAGGTATGTTGGGATAGAGGATCATACAGTATTTGAGGTATGTTGGGATAGAGGATCATACAGTATTTGAGGTATGTTGGGATAGAGGATCATACAGTATTTGAGGTATGTTGGGATAGAGGATCATACAGTATTTGAGGTATGTTGGGATAGAGGATCATACAGTATTTGAGGTATGATGCTAGGACTGACGTAGGCTACAAGTCTTGACAATATACTGAACAACACGTGTTGTGGAGGTACCTCTAAGACAACGTTTTCATGATTGGTAGTTGAAGGGCCGCTTGGTTCATCAACTCTTGTTACCAAGCTTCTGTCCCACTGTGGTAGTTGAAGGGCCGCTTCGTTCATCAACTCTTGTTACCAAGCTTCTGTCCCACTGCTTTCTAGCCATGACCCAGTTGTTATGACTGCTCCAGCAATGATCTGCATGTATGTTGTCTTGTCCGAGAACAAACACACATGAGATAAACATTCAAACATACGCGACAAATTGTAAATACAGCATCATAGCACGAGCCTCTTTTGTTAGCACACCTGCCGTCTCCCACAGACGCAGGGTGACCCGAAAAAGAAGATACACCTTCACCATTACTCGCTCCATCAGATAACTTATTTATGTTCAACCGTTCCCTCTCCTCTCCCCTCTTTCTCTCGCTCCCATCGTTTACTGATGCAATATGGCAGACAAACATAGGTAACTTGTTTCCATCATATAACTATCGTGTATACTATTGTAGCAACACACTGCGGTTATACCCGCTATGTAACTATTGTATAAAATAGTGTAGCACTGTAACACGCTGCTGTATCCAGTTTAGTTACCCGCAGAACGTTACTTTCCACTGTCAGCTCCGAGCGACAACGTTCCAATACCCACCGTTCACCATCTTGGAGCGTGGGCCGGCCGGTGGGCTGACCTACGGTGGGCTGGAGGTGGGCATCCTGCTTACCCTGGCATCGGCCCTCAACTTCACGGTAGAGATTGTGGAGCCTAGAGACGGTGAGAAGTGGGGCACCCATCTATCCAATGGCACCTGGACAGGTGAGGCAGAGGGGAGAAAGAGAGGGGGGGAGGGAGAGGGGAGGGGAGGGAGAGGGGAGGGGAGGGGAGGGGAGGGAGAGGGGAGGGAGGGAGGGAGTGGGGAACGAGGGAGAGAACTCATAGGGAGTTATAGAGGTTGATGGATAGGGTTCACAAGGGCTCTTGATTCAAGTAATTGAGCCTATCCTTCCTTGGATCAAACCTTATTACCTCCTAGGCTCTATATTGCCCATACGGGTTTAATTTTTGTCTAGCATAGAGTTCTAAGCTTCTTGCAGTGTTTTGTTCTCTTGTTAACAAGATTATTCTTGCCTTAACTGAATACCGGAAGGAGGCTTCCGAGAGTCAACGTTCATCACACTCGTTCATCACAATCGTTCGTCGTTCATCACACGTTCATCACAATCGTTCGTCGTTCATCACACGTTCATCACAATCGTTCGTCGTTCATCACACGTTCATCACAATCGTTCGTCGTTCATCACACGTTCAGCACAATCGTTCGTTCATCACAATCGTTCATCGTTCATCACAATCGCTCATCGTTCATCACACTCGATCATCTCAATCGTTCATCACAATCGTTCATCGCTCATCACAATCGTTCATCGTTCATCACAATCGTTTGTCGTTCATCACAATCGTTCATCATTCATCACTCGTTCATCACAATCGTTCATCATTCATCACTCGTTCATCACAATCGTTCATCGTTCATCACTCGTTCATCACAATCGTTCATCGTTCATCACTCGTTCATCACAATCACACTCGTTCATCACAATCACACTCGTTCATCACACTCGTTCATCATAATCACACTCGTTCATCACAATCACACTCGTTCATCACACTCGTTCATCACAATCACAATCGTTCATCACAATCACACTCGTTCATCACAATCACACTCGTTCATCACAATCACACTCGTTCATCACACTCGTTCATCACACTCGTTCATCACACTCGTTCATCACACTCGTTCATCACAATCACACTCGTTCATCACACTCGTTCATCACAATCACACTCGTTCATCACTCTCGTTCATCACACTCGTTCATCACACTCGTTCATCACACTCGTTCATCACACTCGTTCATCACAATCACACTCGTTCATCACACTCGTTCATCACAATCACACTCGTTCATCACTCGTTCATCACACTCGTTCATCACACTCGTTCATCACACTCGTTCATCACACTCGTTCATCACACTCGTTCATCACACTCGTTCATCACAATCACACTCGTTCATCACTCTCGTTCATCACACTCGTTCATCACACTCGTTCATCACACTCGTTCATCACACTCGTTCATCACAATCACACTCGTTCATCACTCTCGTTCATCACACTCGTTCATCACAATCACACTCGTTCATCACTCGTTCATCACACACTCGTTCATCACTCTCGTTCATCACACTCGTTCATCACACTCGTTCATCACAATCACACTCGTTCATCACACTCGTTCATCACAATCACACTCGTTCATCACTCGTTCATCACACTCGTTCATCACTCTCGTTCATCACACTCGTTCATCACACTCGTTCATCACAATCACACTCGTTCATCACACTCGTTCATCACAATCACACTCGTTCATCACTCTCGTTCATCACACTCGTTCATCACACTCGTTCATCACACTCGTTCATCACACTCGTTCATCACACTCGTTCATCACACTCGTTCATCACACTCGTTCATCACACTCGTTCATCACACTCGTTCATCACACTCGTTCATCACACTCGTTCATCATTAGTATTATCTGTCATACAGAAGAAAGATTATTTTTTTACTTTCATTGTATATTTCGTCGTTTTGTCACACACACACACACACGCGCGCGCGCGCGGGGTCAGGAGCTATGACTAGGCGGGGCCAGGAGCTATGAATTGACCCCTGCAACCACAATTAGGTAAGTTTACACACACACTAGTAGCGACTAGCGAAGAGGCGGGGCCAGGAGCTGTGAATCGACCCCAGCAACCACAAATAGGTGAATACAATACACACACATTTTAACACTGTCTCTACTACCACACTCGGGGTCAGGAGCTGAGACTCAACCATTCCCCCACAACCACAAACATCTGAATGCCCACCTCAACACCGCTACCACACATGTGCTGTCCTAGACACATACGAGGGCAGACTGATGTATTTTTCCCTAACTACATCACACAGGGGCTGTCGGGGAGACGATACGAGGGGAGACTGATGTGTCTTCCGCTAACTACATCACATATGTGCTGTCCTAGAGACGATACGATGGGAGACTGATGTATTTTTCCCTAACTACATCACACAGGGGCTGTCGGGGAGACGATACGAGGGGAGACTGATGTGTCTTTCGCTAACTACTTCATCACCGCCGATCGTCTCAAGATAATGGACATGACACGACCATACTACATCGATTACACCTGCTTCGTCACCCCTAAACCCAGGCCGCTACCCCAGTATACTGCTGTCACCTGGCCGTTCCAGGTGAGTAGGAGAGAGAGTACGTGGGGAAGACATACAGGCGAGGACTTGGAGGTCCATACTTAGGCTCTCTGCTGGGAACTGTCTACCTCTGTCTAGATTAAGAACTTCAGAGAAAGAGAGAAAGACAAAACCAGGTGTGAGAAAGTGCAGGAAAGCCAAATTAAGGCACAGTGATAAAGGAAATACCTCGGTTGTACCTTCGGGGCTCTGCAGCCGCTTATGTGTGCAAGGTGAGTCAAGCTTAACGGGAGAGAGAAAGAGAGAGAGAGAGAGCCAGAACGAGAACAAGAACGTGGGGGATTCTCAGAATGGCTGTAAATTAACTCATTAATATTTAGTTCAGACATACACGCACACACACACGAATAAATTTAAAGTCGGTAAACACCACATATTTTTAATAATCTAGGTGAATAATAGAGATTATTTGAGAACATTCTGACAATACGAAAGGGACATAGAGATCTATGAGTGTTTTTGTACATGATGTTATAACCGGTAAATCTTTGAATGGCTAATGTGTTGATATTGGTGAGGGGATGTTGATCCGACAGTATTATGGTTAGCGTCCCTTTCCTCGGGTTAAATCTCGTTATCTCCCATTACCCAAGCTCTGTATAACCCATATGGAGCAAGACTCGGTGTGTGGGGTTTATCGTGGCTTTCATGGCCTTCATTGTGGGGAGGGTCCGGACTCACGAAATCGTAATAACACGATTGTAAACAAACCAGGGAACGGGTGGGGCTTGAACCCATGGCGAGTGAGTTCTAAGACTTCAAGCCAGTGCCTAAGCCACTTGGACAGCTGGCTACAATAAGGTTCATCTAACTAGGTATATTTATACATTATAGAGAAGTTAGCATAAGCCACCACTGTGACCGGAGTATGAGGTATTCTGCCTGCTTCCTAAGTTCAAGGTATTGGTAATGGCAGTTCATTCCACTTAAGTGTTTTGCATGTAAAGTCTGATGTCTGGGGGTCCCTTGATCATCAACAATTTTGATTTCTCTTTTGAAATCTTGAAGCTTAGCTGTGTGCAAGTGGTACATGTCAGGTCCAAAGCTTGTTGAACTAGGCGATATTTAGTAACTCTTCTTAACACAACTAGGGCATAGTCGTCAGTATAGCTGAGTAGAATTGTGTGGGAGGGTAGTTGGGCTAGTGGTTGTATTTAAATGTTGAAGAGGGTATGACCGAGTGCTCCTCGGTCATACCCTCTTCAACATTTAAATAGTGGAATTGTGTCGATGAAGATAAACTTTGGCTCGCCTGGGTTTCATCCCGGCGAGACGGCGACGCTGAACAACTTTCCGTGCTGGCAAGGAGAGGTGGTGGTTGCGCTCGTAAACTTACAAGCTCCTTCAAGATCAAGAGAGACTACTGTACGTGTGACTATACACAAGTAACCCTCACATAGGAGAGAGAAGCTTATGACAACGTTTCGGTCAGACTTGAACCATTAACAAGTCACACTAACACGTCGGTGAGGAAACCAGTTTATATAGAAGAGGGGGGGGGACAGGACAAGGAGAGGAAGAAAGAAGAAAATGGAGAAGTAGTGGTAGAGGTAATGCTGGTAGTGGAAGTAGTAGTGGTAGTACTAAGTAGGGGAGTAATTCCTTACATGTTCTTTATTGACGAAGTAGTGCCACAATACTCACATTTGTGCCTTCGCAAAGTTTTACTTCAGCTGATTTAGTATCATTCTGCAGTTTTGGTTGTGCAATTGTTTACAGAAATTTTTCTTACTTTGTTGGGCTCTATTGATATTATCAGGCATCGGTGTGATGTTAGTCATCTTCCAGGTCGAAAAAAGACACTTATGTATAGTTCAGGACATTTATTAGTGTCCTCTAATAAATGTCCTGAAGTGTACTTAAGTGTCTTTTTCCACATCTTGTCGTATCAGCAGACCATTTTTCATCTTCCAGGTCGTTGGGCGGCTACCCTTTTCTCCAGGTTTTGTTCATAATAGCCAAGATTTGTTGATGGCCTGATTGCATCATCTTCGCTGCTACTCCTGCTGATTATATTTGACTGATGAAGCCTACCATGTAATTGAAACGTTTTAACAATTATGATACCCAACTATAGCACATGTGTCTTACTCATCAACAGCCAAGATTGTTTCCTCTCTTCTTCAACCAGAATGTGATAGTATGGGGTGATTCCATCCTTGCCTTGGGCTATAACACCTCATGGTGTCATGGTTTTAGTTCTTGTATGATCACTGAGTGAGGTGGTTGTCAGGTCAGGGCGCTCAAACGCAGTTCTGTCTTCTTCCTGTCAGTGCGGCAGGCGATCTAATTGAAGATCACGGATGTCCCGGGGAAGTTGTCTGGATTCTCCTCAGGAGGTAAATTGATCCATAATTCTTTCTACCTCTTGCTGGGATTCAGGGCGATCTAGGACGTTTGCAGCCCTCGAACCGGTGGCTGTTTTGAGATGGGGCCTTCAGAAAACAAACCATACCACGGGTGGGGCTTGAACCCGCTATCAGAGTCACAAAACTCCAGACCGTCGCGTTAACGACGCGTCTGTTTGTAATAGTGTCATTACGATTTCGTGAGTCACCTTACTTAAGACTCGGTGGTGTTTTGATTAAATGGGACACACTAGTTAGGCCATTTATCTTCTTTGTCCTTTCTGGAGACATGATATGAATGACGCACCACTTCTCTCGCTGAAGAACTATTTGTCTCTGTTGAACACTGTACAGCTTGTGATGCAAGTCAGTTCTGTGTTTTTGTTACCCTACATATTCATTGTAGAATCACCAGTCCGTCATATACATGCCACTTCATTTTTTTTTTGGGGGGGGGGACGGATAAGGGAGAAGGATTCAGTCTGTGTCGTGCGCTGAGCCTCTTGCACTTTATTTGACTTTCGTTACACAACCATTGGCAAGCTTTCTCGACCAGCGAAATGGAAATTCAGAGTATAGCAGATCTTTGGCCTCACCGCACTGCTGTATTTATTTTCCAGTTCAACCCATTAATCAGTGGAAAGCACGCTTCCCCAGCCAAGGTGACATCACACCTGCCTACCTGGCTGGAGAAGTAGACTTTCGCCAACTCTGGTTGAAACCACTCGTTGAGTGGCTCTTGTCTTTCCCTGTTGATCGCTATATTGATGACTTTGTCTATGATCAGGTGCTACACGCCTTGAATTGCTACCTGTGTTCGAAATAATCAGCAACTTGTACGATTAGTAGATTTTGCTGCCGTAGTGGCAAGTTCATTGTGCGTCCCATATCCATTCTGTGGACAGTTGCATAAGAGCATCTGGAGTCACAAAAGGCACTGAAAGGATTAACGTAAGTACATCTTTATATCTACATCCGTTGCAAGCAAACTTTGGATAATTGCTTAATATGTCTGATATATTTGCATTAGTAACATACCTTGACATTTCACATACTTTATTATACTATCTTTCTCTGTATTCCTGAATAAGTGGACGATAAAGCACATTTGTGTTTAGGACAGTGATCATAAGGCTGACCACATACTCTACATTGAATTTGATCGTCATTTGTTCATATGCCAAGCCATCAGAAGTATTTGCAACCAAACGTAAACTTGGCTACATCAGTCAGTCTCTTCAGCTTCATGGAGCTGAACTCTTCTTCAGGCTGCTGAGGGACTGACCACCTCAAATACTATTTCTCCAACGCTTATGGTCTAATTACATCATCTTTACTTCGCTACTACACTTACTGCCTCTGTATTTGACTGAAGAAGCCTACAATGTAGGCGAAACTTTTCAACAATAAAGATACCAAACTGCTGCACATGTGTCTTACTCATCAAGTTGCTTCGCAAACATATTTATCTAGGTTCATGTTATCATAGTGAGTCTGTAGAATTGCTATGGTAAGTTATTCTTCTGCTGCGTCAGGATCTCCTTAGAGGGCGTGATGTGTCCCCCAGAGTTCCAGGTTCAACTGGAAGATCTCACAGTTGGCCTTTATTCAACGCCCACCATCATCATCACCATATGCTACCAAGAGGGAGCAACACCCAGAAGGCTATTACGAACAGGTGTAGTCTTGTGGCTTACACACCTGGTTGTAGCACGATAAACAAGGTAGGAAATGAGGAACAAGCAACAGTCAGTAGTGAGTAAATACTTATATTTATTTATTGCTGTCTTTTGCTCGTTCCTCATATCCTACCTTGGTTATTGTGCCACAGCCAGGTGTGCAGGCCACAAGACTACACCTGTGTTCGTAAAAGCCTTCTTGGTAATGACGATGGTGGGCATTGAATACGAATTATTATGACTACTGTGTAGTTGCTGATGAGTGTGGGATGTTTCCCAAATGACATTGATAAATAAGGTTCTTGTTCCAGCCCTTGTTGTGGAGCGTAATCTCGGGTACTTCATCCAGAACTGTAGCTGTTGCAATTTCATTGGTGGTAGAGCAGGGTTGCAATATGGTGTGATGAGCATTGAAAGCACCTGGCACAGAAACTTAACCACTTTGATGCAGCATTGATGTCCATTTTTGAAATGTTCTGCAAAAGAAAAACATTGTAAACAAGTGTTTGCAGGAGGCTGGGATTTAATTGTGCATCATTATGAAGCTGTGCAATAAACTATTGCATAACTATCGTGACTCACGAGGTGATAAGTTTAAAACCTTAGACACACTGGCCACAGGTCTCCCAGCATCTGGCTATAGAGTCGTGCTTGAAAGAAGAAATGATTTGCTAATGATACTGGCACTATGTCATTTCAAGTGCCACATTCTGTATCCATTCATTGCATCGCATCATGGGTCAGGTTTCTCTGGAGACAGGAAAACAATGCCGTATATATGCCAGATTAAATACGGGATTCACTTTCTTTAATAGGAAAGTAACTTCTCACAAAGGAAATTGTTGGTGTATGTTGGGTAGGTCTTGAAAAAAAAGCATTTGCTAATGAATTCTTCTTCTTCCTGTATTTGTAGACAGATACTCCAAAAAAGTGACGTATACTCACAACCAAAATATCCGACAAGGTGATGCGCTTTAAGGATATTGTATCTCGGTATCTTGAGAATGTACTTCGCTATCTTGGGAATGTATTGTGAAGGGAAATGTTCTATTGGCGAAGCTAAAGTTGATAATACACTGTCTGTGATCGATTTAACTACACCTTCAGTTATTTTCCTTTCCAGTATTACATTACAAGAAGAATTGTTAGACGTTGTTATTGCTGATTTTGCAATGGAATCATCTCGAAAAATTCATCATTAATGCTGATTTCTTTACACTTTATTTCAAAATTGTTCAAGACAATATCTTCGTTACAGATTTTAAGAAAAATATGGTAAAAAAAAATCGTACGCTCTCTGGTTTTCGGAGGTCTTAGACACAGTGCTACGGTCCTGACCATCACCCTCACGCACCCCTCCCCAGGTACGTTAGTCACCACCACCACTTACCCAAACCTCCCAGACCTCCACCTCAACAGCCATCTTCACTCACATCCCCAAATACATTAGTCACAACCCTCATCCACCTTCCCTCAGCTGCTAATACATAAGTCTCGCAAAACAAATATTCTGTCGCTCGGCTTATAGTTTTAGTAAACATGCGCTTAACACCTCCCAGAATTTCTGTCTTTCCTTCACTCCTCTCATCTCATTTATATTTCACAAACTTGCATACTTGCTGCTGCACTATTTAGTGTGACTTTGTAAATGGTCCAAGTCGGACCGAAACGTCGTCGTATACTCCTCTCTTCTATGTGCGGGTTATTTGTGTATCGTTACAATCACGGTATTGTGCCTTTTTGTTATTTACACTATTCTGTTTGATAGTTACATAGTGGAAACTAATGTTAGCTGTGTTTGTTATATTCCATCACACAGGATGGTGTTTCCTGTCATATTCCATCACAGGATGGTGTTTCACTGCTATATTCCATCACACAAGATGGTGTTTCCTGTTATATTCCATCACAGGATGGTGTTTCACTGTCATATTCCATCACACAAGATGGTGTTTCCTGTCATATTCCATCACAGGATGGTGTTTCACTGTCATATTCCATCACACAAGATGGTGTTTCCTGTCATATTCCATCACAGGATGGTGTTTCACTGTCATATCCCATCACACAGGATGGTGTTTCACTGTCATATTCCATCACACAGGATGGTGTTTCACTGTCATATTCCATCACACAGGATGGTGTTTCACTGTCATATTCCATCACACAGGATGGTGTTTCACTGTCATATTCCATCACACAGGATGGTGTTTCACTGTCATATTCCATCACACAGGATGGTGTCTCATTGTCATATTCCATCACACAGGATGGTGTATCACTGTCATATTCCATCACACAGGATGGTGTATCACTGTCATATTCCATCACACAGGATGGTGTTTCACTGTCATATTCCATCACACAGGATGGTGTTTCACTGTCATATTCCATCACACAGGATGGTGTATCACTGTCATATTCCATCACACAGGATGGTGTTTCACTGTCATATTCCATCACACAGGATGGTGTCTCATTGTCATATTCCATCACACAGGATGGTGTATCACTGTCATATTCCATCACACAGGATGGTGTATCACTGTCATATTCCATCACACAGGATGGTGTATCACTGTCATATTCCATCACACAGGATGGTGTTTCACTGTCATATTCCATCACACAGGATGGTGTTTCACTGTCATATTCCATCACACAGGATGGTGTTTCACTGTCATATTCCATCACACAGGATGGTGTTTCACTGTCATATTCCATCACACAGGATGGTGTTTCACTGTCATATTCCATCACACAGGATGGGTCATAGTGTTAAAATGTGCCAGTCAGAGACGACAGACTTCAGTAGGTCAGTGAGGATATCGTCAAGTATTCCTTTAAGTATTTATCAGCTACTGAAGCTTCAAGTGTTTTCCTGCAGTAATGCTGGAATTACTATAATTGGTATTTACCGTCATTCATGATGGCCCATCTCATCCCCTCTCCCACACTCTTCACTTCTCTCACCTACAGATTCATCAACATCAACTGTCACCCACTTCTCACATCCCACTTTTATTCACATTATCTAACTAACTTTAACCATGTCTCACTTTTAAGATGTCCATCTTACTTTCGCTCGTAACATTAACAATAACTTTTCTTAATGTACACACAGTGTCCACACATTCAAACAATCCAAATTCAACATTTCATACAGGAAAATTGGGTTAGAACAGATTAACTGGCGTCATATTAGTCAGCTTGGCTGACTTTTTGCTGGGAAAAAATAATGACATCAGGTGTATACAGCTGGGTTCTTAATTGGGTGGCAAATACTGTAATTGGGCGACAAATACCTGAATTGTGTTTAACCTCTGGTTCAAGTCTCCCAAGCAGTTAACACAATGAACATGTGTGTTTGACACAGACGCACTAGGTTTTGTAACCAAAGTGGCTAGTTTATTGTGCATCTTGCATCTACGCTATAACCGATAGTGATTAGTTTATTGTGCAGCCCATAACTATCTCGTAGAGGATAGTGGCTAGTTTATTGTGCACTCGATATTTCCTGGAGAGTATTATAACAGGGCGTGTTTTCTTAAGACACCTGCTGTCCATGTTTACCCATCAGTAAAGTAGGTACCTGGGAGTTAGTCGACTGGTGTGGGTCGCATCCTGGGACAGAATTTACCTAATTTGCCCGAAATGCTTTACATAACACGAGGCTTTCTATATAGTAGTGTCATTGATGTCAGCTAGGCCTGTATACCTTGTACATATACCTGGAGTCTACCTGGAGGGCATTCCGGGGATCAATGCCCCAGTGGCCCGGTCCATGACCAGGCCTCCTGATGGATCAGGGTCTGATCAACGAGACTGTTACTGCTGGCCGCACGTAGTCCAACGTACGAACCACAGCCCGGCTGATCTTGCACTGACTTTAGGTATCTGTCCAGCTCCCTCTTGAAGACAACCAGGGGTCTAATGGTAATTCCCCTTATGGCTGGTGGGAGGCTGTTGAACAGTCTTGGGCCCTGGACACTTATTGTGTCTTCTGTTAATGTACCACTGGCGCCTCTACTTTTCACTAGGGGTATGTTACATCGCCTGCCAAGTCTTTTGCTTGCGTAGGGAGTGATTTCTGCGTGCAGATTAGGGACCAGTCCCTCCAGAATCTTTCAGGTGTAGATTATGATGTATCTCTCTCGCCTGCGCTCCAGTGAGTACAAGTCAAGTGCTTTCAGGCGTTCCCAGTAGTTAAGGTGTTTGATGGAATTTATATGTGCAGTAAAGGTTCTCTGTACATTCTCTAGATCTGCAATTTCACCTGCATTGAATTGGGATGTTAATGTACAGCAGAATTCCAGCCTAGAGAGAAGTGGTTTAAAAAGGATCATCATTGGCTTGGCATATCTTGTCTTGAATGTTCTCATTATCCATCCTATCAGTTTCCTCGCAGATGTGATAGTGGCATTGTTGTGGTCCTCGAAGGTGAGGTCTTCGGACATTACCACACCCAGGTCTTTCACATTACTTTTCCACTCTATTGTATGGTTAGAGTTTGTAGTATACTCAGTCCTAGTTATTATTTCCTCCAGTTTTCCATAACGAATTTGTCTTCATTGAACATCATATTGTTCTCTGTTGCCCATTGGAAAACTTGGTTTATATCTTCTTGGAGATTTGCCGTGTCCACAGTGGATGACACTCTCATGGGGATCCTAGTATCGTCTGCAGAGGATGTTACGGTGCTATGGTTTACTTCTCTGTCCATGATATGAGAATGAGGAACAGGATGGGGGCGAGTACTGTACCTTGTGAAACAGAGCTCTTCACTATGGCAGCTTCCGATTTAACTCTGTTTACCACTACTCTTTGTGTTCGATTGGTCAGAAAGTTGAAGATCCATCTGCCTGCTTTGCCAGTTATCCCTTTAGCACGCATTTTGTGTGCTATTACACCATGATCGTACTTGTCAAAGGCTTTTGCGAAATTTCTGTATACTACATCTGCACCTGCATTACTTGCAAAAGTAAATATTATTATTATTATTTTTTTATTATTATCATTATTATTAATACTATTTGTCATTAATGTTAGCTATGGTCTACATAAGTTGTATCATATATTTGTAGATAAAGATTATTATTGTTATTAGTATTATATGTCATTAATGTCAGCTATGGCCTATATAAGTTGTATCATATACTTGTAGAAATAAAGATTATTATTATTATTATCACAGGTGAGCGTGTGGGCAGCGGTGGGTGTTGCAGGTGTTGTGTTGTGTCCAGCTGTGCACCTGGCAGGTCGTACTGAACCCGGGACCTGGTTCCTGCGTGTCGACAACTGCTTATGGTACGTCTTAGGTATCTTCCTGACGCAGCCGCAGCAGGTTCTGCCGCAGTGGTGGCCCCTGCGGGTAGTAGTGCTGTCGGCATCAGTAGGTGCAACAGTTCTTACTGCGGTGTACAGGTCAGCGCTGGTGGCCTTCCTTTTGGTGCCGCTTCCAGTGCCACCTATCAACAGCCTGCAACAGCTGCTGCAGTCTGGCCTGCACTGGGGAGTCAGAGACAGCGGTGGATGGGAAGAGTGGTTCAGGTAGGTCTTGTAGGATCACTCGATACCCATTATCCTCTCGAATCCTACTCTCTCTCCAAATTCTACTCTCCCACCTAATTCTAATCCCACTGAATCCCACCTTCCCACTGAATCCTGTGTAAAATAAGATACATGTCCATTATTAGGATCTTTTAATAAGAACACGTTTCGCCCAAATGGCTTTGTCAGTTCCACAGAGATAAATACAACTGGAGTTTATATTGTGTGGTAAAGTAACAAGTATACTGTGTGACAGGTGGTAATTACCAGCACACTGTGTGACAGGTGGTAGTTACCAGCATACACAGTTTGACAGGTGGTAGTTACCAGCACACTGTGTGACAGGTGGTAGTTACCAGCACACACTGTGTGACAGGTGGTAGTTACCAGCACACTGACAGGTGGTAGTTGCCAGCACACACTGTGAGACAGGTGGTAGTTGCCAGCACATTGTGTGACTGGTGGTAGTTGCCAGCACAGTGTGTGACTGGTGGTAGTTACCAGCACACTGGGTGACATGGTAGTTACCAGCACACTGGGTGACATGGTAGTTACCAGCACACTGACAGGTGGTAGTTACCAGCACACACAGTGTGACAGGTGGTAGTTACCGGCACACTGTGTGACAGGTGGTAGTTAACAGCACACTGGGTGACAGATGGTAGTTACCAGTATACTATGTGACAGGTGGCAAAAGGATCAGGTAAGTAGGTATATTCCATTGCTTCAGACTTTAACCTCTAGGTGATCGTGTCCTGTTGAAGAATTAACCTGGTTAACACTTGGTGGTTATAATTAAATCATTGACAGACATCAACGTCTGGGTAATTCTTCTTCCCTGAAGGCGAGTCTGTCTTCAGTTTCATAAAATGTTATACCTATTGGTGTTCCGGGGGTCTACGCCCCCGAGGTCCGGTCCATGACCAGTTGATTACGATGTATTACGCAGGTGTTGTATTGGTCATCCCTACTACATGCGTTCCCGTTGCGCTGTTATGTTTCTGTAAGTTCCTGGGTGTTTCTCACTATCTTCTCATGGGATCACGTAAGCATCTACTTTACGTTCTGTTGGTTTAACAATTATCTTGACTAAGTTATTTATCATGGTAGATGTCATGGTTGTTATTTTATGTTGCTTCTGGTAATTATGTTGGTGATGCTGGTAGAATTACCGACAATATGTTAGGGACATGTTCAACAATGCGACATTTCGTTGTGGCAACGTGTCGTTCTCCAGGAGCTTTGTCAAAACGTCTTGACAAAGCTCCTGAAGAGTGAAACTTTGCCGCAATATAAATGTCTCTTTAGTTGCCCATGTGTCCTTGTACCTAATAAGTATGCTGATGACGTTCGTAGGTACTTCATCAGGTGGAAGAACAAGGTACTACCAAGCGGGTTTATCAGCTTAGCTAGGTGAGTGACTAATTCCTACTGTTCTAATTCTCTATTGCTGCTTCTGCCTCTGTACTCGACTGAAGAAGCCTACTGTGTAGGCGAAACGCTTCGGAATAAAGATACCTAACTGTTGCACATGTGTGTGTCTTATCAACTTGTCCATATTGTATGCCATTATAATATCTGTTTACCTTGGTGAGAAAGTTGTAAGGAAGAAATCACAGAACGGGCAGGGCTTGAACCGTGATCTGTTTCCAGTCGTGTTATTTCTATTTTGTAAGTTGTAAGGGAGCGTTGTGTGATTTCCAGTGACTTACGGTTATGAAGAGGCTCGTAGGTGTTTTTGTCGTCCAGTAATTCCTGTCTCTTGTGGTTGTAGTCTGGTGTTGTCAGAATGACTACCCCCAACACCTTTGTCTGTTGTGGTGATACTGATGGAATCGTCCTTAGCAAGTCTCTAAAAGCGTTGAGATAGCGTCGAGGAATGACGGGTGTGGAAGGTTAAGTAACTGTCGCTGTGATAAGTCCCTGGATAAAATCCCTTTGAAATTTTCTGTCTTGATAACTGTAGTTATCATGTCTAACCCAGGGGTATTCAGACTAGTGATACGGGATCTATTTTTTTTTTCCAAGTTCTCTCTGTACTGTTACAGCCCAGTGTTTCTGTACCGCCAACCCTCAGTTGCAGATACCAGACGGATCTAGATGCTTACACTCAGTCTAGATTATGTTTTTGTGTGTGCTCACCTATTTGTGGTTGCAGGGGCTTATTCACGGCTCCTGGCTCCGCCTCTTCGCTGATTTCTACAAGGTCCACTCTGCCTCCTTGCTCCAAGAGCCTTATCGTACCTCTTCTTAAAGCTATTTATGGATCCTGCATCCACTACTTCACTCTCCAGATTGTTCCACATCTTGACAACTCTAAAGCTGAAGAAATGCTTCCTAACATCCCTGTGACTCAACTGAGTCACAGGGATGTGACTCAGTTGAGTCACATCCCCTTGTTCCTGTGTCCCATCTCTAAAACTTCCTGGTCCTGTCCACCTTGTGTGTGTGCGTGTGTATTCAGATATTTGGGAGTCGATGGGTAAATGAAAGACGAGGTGGGTGGTGCACTGAAGTATCTCTGGAGAGAAAGAACGATATCGACTGTGGGAATGTAGTGGTACTAACACGTTACGTCAGTCAGCTATAGAATTAAACCTTCAGATAAACCCTCTTGTACACTCAGTGGGTTGGATCGTAAACCCACTTTGATTGTTTACACATTGATCGTTGCATCAACTCTTGTGACTCATTCCAGACTTGAGTAGCGCCCTCGAAATTAATTTTATTAATTTTTTAGATGTTGCGTTGTCAGTTTTATTCCCGCGTGCGGAGATTAGTCAGAGGTGCAGCAGTAATTTTAAACATTGCCAATGACGTTGTCTTATGCAGTGATGCCTGGGCAGGTTGCTGCTTCCATAATGAGAATCATCAGGTAAATACTCGTCTTGTGGCTGCTTAATTCACCAGAGACTTAAGTCAAGTGTGAAGAATTGAGACACTTATGCAACGCATGGGAATCTTTATTGAAGAAACGTTTCGCCACACAGTGGCTTCATCAGTCCAATACAAAGTAGAAATGGGTAAGGAGAGGAGAAGTTTGAGGTAATCAGTCCCTCAACCTGGAATCGATGTGTTCAGTCCATCACTCTTGTAGGAAGTGCAGCATAGGGCCAGAGAGGTGGATTATATACTGCGGTGAGATGAGGTGAAGCGGGAGGAGGCGGGATCACAGTGGGACCTGACACTAGTTTAAGTAGGTCGTCGTCCAAAGGTTGGGCAAGCGTTGAAGTCTTTGTACCAAGATCCCATGATGTTGCAGTGTCTGACAGATGTGATGAATGGTTTAGAAAACCTTAAAAGTGTAAAAGATATCAGGTCTTAACACAGGTGTTCAAATGGTAATGTTCTCCGGTGATCAAGGTCAATATATTTCATCATACTGCAGTGATGAACAGTCATGAACAGCCTCGAGCAGTGTAAGAGCTTATAGTGTGTGTGACGGCCTAGAAGAGCTTGTAGTATGTGTGACTGCCTAGAGGAGCTTGTAATGTGTGTGTGACGGCCTAGAAGAGCTTGTAATGTGTGTGACGACTTAGAGGAGCTTGTAATGTGTGACGGCCTAGAAGAGCTTGTAATGTGTGACGGCCTAGAAGAGCTTGTAATGTGTGACGGCCTAGAAGAGCTTGTAATGTGTGACGGCCTAGAAGAGCTTGTAATGTGTGTGACGGTCTAGAAGAGCTTGTAATGTGTGACGGCCTAGAAGAGCTTGTAATGTGTGACGGTCTAGAAGAGCTTGTAATGTGTGACGGCCTAGAAGAGCTTGTAATGTGTGACGGCCTAGAAGAGCTTGTAATGTGTGTGACGGTCTAGAGGAGCTTGTAATGTGTGTGACGGTCTAGAAGAGCTTGTAATGTGTGACGGCCTAGAAGAGCTTGTAGTATGTATGACGACCTATTAGAGCTTGTAGTGTGTGACGGCCTAGAAGAGCTTGTAATGTGTGTGACGACCTAGAGGAGCTTGTAATGTGTGACGGCCTAGTAGAGCTTGTAGTATGTGTGACGGCCTAGTAGAGCTTGTAGTATGTGCGACGGCCTAGTAGAGCTTGTAGTGTGTGTGACGGCCTAGTAGAGCTTGTAGTATGTGTGACGGCCTAGTAGAGCTTGTAGTGTGTGTGACGGCCTAGTAGAGCTTTGTTAGATGGGGTGACGGCCTAGTAGAGCTTGTAGTGTGTGTGACGGCCTAGTAGAGCTTGTAGTATGTGTGACGGCCTAGTAGAGCTTGTAGTATGTGTGACGGCCTAGTAGAGCTTGTATGTGTGACGGCCTAGTAGAGCTTGTAGTATGTGTGACGGCCTAGTAGAGCTTGTAGTATGTGTGACGGCCTAGTAGAGCTTGTAGTATGTGTGACGGCCTAGTAGAGCTTGTAGTGTGTGTGTGACGGCCTAGTAGGCTTGTAGTATGTGTGACGGCCTAGTAGAGCTTGTTAGTGTGTGTGACGGCCTAGTAGAGCTTGTAGTGTGTGTGACGGCCTAGTAGAGCTTGTAGTGTGTGTGACGGCCTAGTAGAGCTTGTAGTGTGTGTGACGGCCTAGTAGAGCTTGTAGTGTGTGTGACGGCCTAGTAGAGCTTGTAGTGTGTGTGACGGCCTAGTAGAGCTTGTAGTGTGTGTGACGGCCTAGTAGAGCTTGTAGTGTGTGTGACGGCCTAGAGAGCTTGTAGTGTGTGTGAGGCCAGTAGTGCTTGTAAAGTGTATTTGTGATCAGCCTAGTAGCTTGTCAGGTCGTGTGCTGCCTATGTAAAGCTTGTAGTGATGTGTGACGGCCTAGTAGAGCTTGTAGTATGTGTGCGTGCCTATGTAGAGCTTGTATGTGTTTGTGACGGCCTAGTGATGCTTGTACGTTGTGTTGACGGCCTAGTAGAGGTCTTGTATTAGTGTGTTGTGACGGCCTAGTAGAGCTTGTATGTGTGTCAGTGTACGGCCTAGTAGAGCTTGTAGTGTGTGTGATGGCCTAGTTATGCTGTGTTCGTACTGTGTGTATCTGATCTGTGTAGCATGTGT